TATTATTATTATTATTATTATTATTATTATTATTATTATTATTATAGTTGAGAGAGGAGCAGCATTCAAACTTAGAAGCATTTTAAAAATTCAAACTAACTAGCTAGTGCCCCCTGCCCCCCCCCCATTCCAGAAAAAAACATTTCCCAATTACAACTTACTTTTTGTGATAAAGAACTCTGGAAGAAAGCCAGTCACTTTTCCACCATTATCCAATACTGTCTGTGCTAGTGTCCCCATAAGGCCTGCATTACCTCCCCCATATAACAGCTCAATTTGGTTTTTTGCTAAGCACTTTCCAAGAGCTAGAATATGAGAGATGTTAGAAAAAATGTTATTCTGACACCTTACCTACAGCTGTATATTATAATGTCATCCCAGGGTTTTCATTAAGTTTTGAAATAATAGGAGAAGATCAAGAACTAGCTGTAGAGTTCTGGGTAGGGTTTTCATATGTTAAGTTTTAAATATAAAGGAATGGATAAATAGTACAATCGCTTGTGTATATATTACGGGAAGCATTGGTCGTGTAGTAGAAGCATGGGTGGCGTGTGCAGCTAATTAATGTGCTGCCTCTCACCAATGCGACCTGGGCTTGAGTCCCATCAGTTTCAGTACTGTATGTGAGTAGAGTTGTTTGTTGGCTTTCTCCTGTGCTTTGAGGGTTTTTTTCCAATTTATGTTGCGAGCCATGACACACAATGTAATTTGTTGGACACAACGTTGCTGAAGTAGAAAACTATACTACTTCAGCATCATTGCCTGCAATGTTGCACGCAATGTTGCACCATGTGTCAATGCCTTAAGTGGCTCTGGTTACAGTAGTTGCAATGTAATTGGTTTGGCAATTTTGGAGAAGAGGTTTTTGATAGTGAGATTTTCTTTTAGTCTGTCATGCAAGTGGCAGTTGGTGAGACCCCTTGCCTGTGATGTCAAAGCAGCACCTGAGAATTGGAACCTATTGTGTTGTCCCCCAGATTAAGCTGCATTCCAAAGCTAGTAGTGCAAAGGGTCTATAACTTCATTACGCAATAGATAATGACAAACTTTCTTCTATTTTCTTTGATTTAAAACTTAAAACTTATCACTGATCAAGTGCGCGTTTTACTTCATAGCTTGTGTAATATTAGTTTAGGGATTATTAAAATCGTTTTGTTATTCTTTGGAACAGCTTACCCATTATCACAAGACAATAGTCTACTTTTTTTGCATCATAAAACGAAGTCATTTTTGCTGTTAATTACTATTTCTCTTGGGAACATAATGATCCTTGTTTTAAACCCTTTTAAATAATATAACTTCCTATGCCCACTAATCCTTTTGTCTCGTCTTTAATTCACTTTATCTTTATACTTCTATGATTTTTCTCTGTATTTGGTTAAGTTAAAATTTCCAAACAAATAATAAATAAATTGAACTTTAATTAATAAAAATAAATTCTTACTTATTGCTGCTTCTTCAAACGCAGGGTTATTGCCCGCCGACGAACCACAAAACACAGTAACTGCTTTCAAAGGTTCCATTGTTATGGCTTATTAAGACGTTGTTTACGGTATGTGTATGTATTTATATATTTTTTCGCTTCCACGACAATCGGTAAGAAAAGTTTTGCTCGAGAGAGAGAGAGAGAGAGAGCAATGTTCGGTCGTTACTTCATGTATGACCACACGAATTGGCACTATCTTGGGGTTGTGTGTTGTGGTAGTGTTGCATCGTTCGGTGTCACCTTTAGTGATCCGTGTAGGTGCAGCACATGTAGTTGGTGTAATACCCGTAGTACCCGTGGTAGGTGTAGTACCTGTAGCACCAGTAATACCTGTAGTATCTGTAGTAGGTGTAGTAGATGTAGTACCTGTAGTATCCGTAGTACCTGTAGTACCTGTAGTAACTGTAGTAGGTGTAGTACCTGTAGTATCTGTGTAGTACCTGTAGTACCTGTAGTACCTGTAGTAGGTGTAGTAGATGTAGTATCCGTAGTACCTGTAGTAGGTGTAGTATCTGTAGTAGGTGTAGTATCCGTAGTACCTGTAGTACC